GTGATATCATAGTTCTTCAGCAGATCCAACCATCTCCGCTGCCTCAAATTTAAATCTTTCCATTTAAACAGATATTGGAGACTCCGGTGATCTGTATATACCTCATTAAGACATGCCATATAAATAATGCCTTCAAATCTTGAGCGCGTGTACAATAGCAGCTAACTCCAAATCTTGGACCGGATAGTTTTTGTCATGGGGATTCAACTGACATGATGCGTACGCAATCACCCTACCGTCCTGCATCAATACACATCCAAGACCAGCCCTTGAAGCATCATAATAGATTGTATATGATCCCGATCTTGAAGGAAAAACCAACACTGGAGCCATAGTCAATGTCGTCTTGAGCTTCTGAAAGCTCTCCTCACACTCGTCTGACCACCCTGAACGGAGCGTCCTTCTGAGTCAACTGAGTCAATGGGGCTGCAATAGATAAAAATTCCTCCACAAAGCTAGTGATAATACCCAGCCAGGCCTAAGAAACTCCGAATCTCAGTAGCGGTAGAAGGTCTAAGAATACTCTGAAGTGCCTTAATGTTCTTCGGACCCACCTTGATCCCATCACTCAATACCACGTGACCCAAGAATATCACGAGTCTTGCCAACACTCGCACTTGGAGAACTAGCATATAGCTTCTTTTCGAAAAAGTGAGATTTATATTCTTGAAAATTCTTAACGCAACAAGTAAACAATCATTGTGCTTGAAAACAACTGCTATAAGAGCTATTTTTTCTTGCTTGAGCTTGTCCTCGAAGATTTTTACTCAATCTTAAACTGCTCAACATCCAAATTTTTTTCACACATTGACTATATGTAACACTTTCTATAGAATAGTTGAAGCAAAAGGTGAAGAAATATATGGTGATTTCGCGTTACCTTATAATTATTGATTTATATTTTATGCAAGTTCTAAGCCTAAGAAGGGTTAATTTCAAATAGAGAAGAACTATTTGTATCTTTAAAATAAATCAGAAACCTAGGTAATCTGATACCATGTAATAAACTATGTGTCTTGATAATATTATTAAAATTTACATGATATATATATAAATTATACACTAGTTATGTGTAAAAAGTACTCTACCCTTACATGAGATTGGAACAAATATATTGATCACTTAAAACCTCTTTTTATGCTTAATCTACTAAAATTTGTCTCTTAACTCTATCAAATAAGTGGGGTTGCTCGCTCGCAATGGTAAATTCAGAACTCACTAACTTAAAATTGTGGATGTGCCTATAAACTCATTTTCAATTAGTAATATGCTGCAATACATGTCTTATTACAATTAATTGAGCATGCATATTTGAGATCTAAAACGGTGAATAAGTATATACAAATTAAATGAAAATCTAATAAGGCTTAACATTGACTAGTGCAATAGAGAAAGACCTGGATATCAACAATAAAATTCAACTCAAGAAAGACGTTTTGGCAAGTCAACTAAACAACAGTTTGTGATCCTTAACGAACGCTGCATATGTCTCTTTCACGTGGTTCATTATTGACTTGTACTAAGAAAGACAAAACGTGAGAGAAACAAAGAAAGAATAGACTAATATATGTTTACTTTCAAAATCGGATAACAATTAAATTTGTACACAGTTTTAAGGATATACGAATTAATTTGATACAAAGTGATAAATTAAGTTACTATTGAACAAACAAAGATAAAATAAATTCAAACCACGCAAGTAGGGTAGTTCTAACATTAGTGAAATAGTCAGCCTCGAGCTGGGCTCACCTCGGCCGTCACCAATGAAAAAGAGAAAGAGCTAGTGAGAGAGAAAATAATGATATATTACTTTGGTATGCGTGTTATAGTCTTCTTCGCGAATTATCAGACCCCCTTTATATAATAGGAACTCCTACTTTAGGTACTAACTCTATAAAAGGTAAAAAAATTTTTTTGATTAACTGATTGTCGGTTCCTTATCGATACGTGCCGAGATCCCCGCCATGATATCCGGTCGGTTACGGATGTTTTGGTCTTCTGTTGGCTATGCTTGATTGTCCGACAATGTTCTTCAAAGTCGTTCGAGGCTAGGACTGATTCCGGAACCATGACCTCGACATTCTCGATGGCAGGCGTCATGCCCCCGAGATTCTGGTTCGGTGGGACTTTTGGCTCGATTTCGATCCCTTGCCACCATGTCTTGAGCCAGGCTTATCTTGTCGGATGTCGGGATGCACCATAAGCTTGGTTTTTCCCGTATACAACATAAAAATGGAATTATTCTCTCATGTCAATAAGTTTACTCATCAGGCGGCGTAGGCATCTTATCTCAAGCAGTGTCACGTGCTACCGCTTTATCAAAAATTTTAAAAAATATATATTTGTATAAATAATAACAAAAATAAAAATATTAGGTATAAATATAAAAAATGACATTGGTTGTAATTATAGTAATTTATTTATTTGTTCACTTTTTTAAATACTTATATGGCTACTATTACAAAAATTCATGCTTGCGCGCCACTGCTCATCGGCATGCGCTCCTTTGTTCTCTCATGTAAATACTAGTGGAAGTGAAGCTCGTGCTGCGCACCGGCCCAAGCTTAAATGGATAAATTGACATAAATCAAGCTAATCTATGATTTGACATCTGTATACGGTCAAAATCGATTTCGATCTTCATATGATTAGTCAAGATTGGAACATAATGGACCGAAGGTTATCTTCATAATATCGAAATGAGATCTGAATCTAGGTTACCGAGCTCAAATTTCCGGGACCGATCAAATACCGAGCTCGAGTCCAAATCGAACTATGATGTGAAGCAGTGTCATCGAGCTTAAAAGCCAGATACCGACCAATATCGAGCCCGAGCCTAGAGTCAATATCGAGCCCCGAGTTAATATCGAGCTCTAAATCTGAAAATCGACCAATACCAAATCCGACCAAGATCGAGCCAAGAGACAAGAGCTGTTACAGCCGCACTAAGGGAGAAAATCTCGGCGGGAATTACGGAAAAGCTAATTTGTCATGGAATCCCCACTATGTATTTTTAATTATATCTAAAGTAGGATCTCTCCACTATAAGAGGGATAGCTACTATTTCTATACAGACATCCAACAAGAAGGTATTCATACACTCTCATATTCAAATATTATTGATATTCACAGAGAAATATAGCAGAGATTATCCTTTTGTGAGCTTTATGCATGGATTCATCTCGCTTATACACAAAATCGCTTTCTATTCAATTTGGTTTGTATTTTATTTTTTACAGTCAATATTCGATATATTTCTACTTACTTTTATGATTTGTGCCAAGTTATACCACATATCCTTAGAACTACGTATAAATTCAACTCTATTCGTTTTTCGGGTAAACAACTTTATTTTCCATAGATTAGGTATGATCAACAAATTTTATCTTAATTTAAGTTTTTGATCACGTGGGAACTCATATTAATATCAATGCGACATGTTTCTTTTTAAAAAAATAATAATTTTACAATAGAGTTGTGAAATTATGAAGTTAATATTTTAAGTGTGGTACCTTTTTTTTTGTTCCTCTATATGAGTATGTTTTCATGTACTTTATTTCGTTAAAATTTGATGCTAAAGATGAAAGTTGAAGATTAAAGTTTATAGCTTTGCACGTGAATTTGCTGAAGTGATTTATTTTAAGAAACTCCAACCAAATTAGGAGGATTTATAGTGTTTTTACACTTCCCCTCCAGCGTGATTCGAACCCAGAACCTAAAGGTCGTGGGTGGTTTAACATTTTATAGCATGGGGGGTTTAACATTTTATAGCATGGGTGAAAGGGCATAAATCTTGTAGGAAAAGCTCTACACTCAACCCATTTGCAAAAATTTTATTGGAAGAAAATGCATTATTATTTTCACGTTGTCCAACATAGTTGTCACATAATTCACCTATAGAATTGCTGAAAGGCACTTCAAGAATTGCTGCAGAATACAAAAGAAATATAGATGCAGAAAAATATATTCTCATTTTTCTCCTATTTGAATAAGCTTTTCTGCACATATCTTAGAAAAAATAAACAAAAAGTGTTTGGGTATTTTTTTAAAGGAACAACGCCTAAATTAGTCTTTGCTTTCTTAAATAGCATAACGACCTTTGAAGTTTATGGAGTAATAATTTTAATTTGTGTGTCTCTCGAATAACAAAATAGTTTTTTACATGATATATCAATATTTTGCTTGAGTTTCAACAAAATATTGAATTAGTAGAAATTAAAAGCTACTACATACAACATCTCATGTCTCGCACATCAAAACCTGCATGAAAAATAATAATTAACATTTCTATAATCGTTTCAAAATTAGCTAAGCAGGAAAAGAAGTATTATATGATTGAGAAATGAAAAGGATAAAATCTCTGAGTATAGATCGTTTGATGTACTTAAAGAGTAATGATCATAGTATTAAACAAGTTTTTCATTACTTAGTTAGCCTAATATGTATTAGATTTTGACGAGCCAAACAGAAGTACTATAACATTCTGTATTAGATTTTGATGAACCAAAAAGAAGCACTATAACTTTACCTATGATTTATCAAAAGAATGCTTTTGTCTTAATTAGTTGTAGTAAAACTTAATGCATTTGTTAGTAAATAAAATAGCATGTCTAGGCAAACACATGCACTACGTCAGGAAGGTGTAAAAGCATTGAGGTCAGCAAGTATAAAGTTGGAAGGGCCCCACAATGTTATAATATCTCAGGAACACAATTAAATAAATTTGTCCACTGTTTCATCTACTTCTTCACACGTGTCCTTGGGGCAGTAAAGAGAAATGATGGACGGACTTTGAAAATGCCTCAAGAGTTCCCTTTATTTACCACATTCTTCGGTGGCAATAAACGTAATAATACTAAAATGCAAGGGCAAAGCTATAAAAGTTTAAGCGGGAAGTCCTGTCAGCTTCACCTGTTCCTTAGGCACTTCTTATAGGAAAAACAAAATAGGATAGGATATAGGAGAAAGTTTATTTACTCATCAGTCTACACACCTTTTATTCTCTCACATCTGTTCACTTAAGCTTATGACAACCATCTCTAATTAGCTATTTGAAGGCTAAAGAAATTTCATGTGTAAGGTGCTCTACATTAGGAGAGATTAAGGTGTGTAGCTCTTTGTTCGTCATTCTTTTCTTCTAATTTAGTTTGTTTCCTTTTGCTCTGATTTATCTAACATGCTTCTACTTTCTTTTCATTTACCTTATTTTATTTTAAATTTTTTCCCACCTTTTCACTTTCTCATTCGCCGCCGGTATCCCATTATACAAATTCCATTCCTTCTTTATCTCTTCTCTCAGCCTCACTGATCTCCCCAAAAATTTGTCTCTTGCAGCTTCTCTCGTTCCCTTTCCTTTTTCTGTTTGCGTTTTGCCTTTTTCTTTGGGTCAAAAGATTGAATTTTGGTAAACTCTTTGTTGATATGAAGAATAGGTTGAAAATTCTACATTTTCGGTATTGAATGCTGTAGATTTTGTTATTGAAGTTCAAAATGAATATTATCCGGCCAAGTTCCCGATGAGTTTTTGCCGGAGGGCTAATACTTGTTGTCGGGATAAGTTTTTGTCTAGACTTTAATCACAAAGGGGTCTTTGACTGCATCAGTGAAAAATTAAATGAGAACTTCCATATAAACATTCTACACATTTTTACGAAATGTGGTTATTTATCATTAGCTTTGGATTAAGGATAAGTGAAGGGCTAATGATCTTTGGGTCGGCTAAATAGGTTACGAATTAATGGTTCGGTTTGGCAAAATGAATTGGGTAACAAATATGTTTATAGCCCTCCACGTGTTCATTTAATTGGTGGATCTGTGTGTTTTAACGGTAGAGGGGTATTCTTGCTCAAAAGTGTGACTAGGGTATATAGATTCGAACAGTAAAAAGGATGGCAGATATAAACAATATTTGAAAGTAGAGGGACAAATATAATTCTTTGCCGTTCTAAATATAGACCCAAAAGAAAGCATGTCATGGAAATTGTGACAGAGGGGTAATAAACAGAGCTATTTTGGACACTGCTGTTAGATGCTGTTTTTTGTTTAACTATCTCTTTGTTGCGGCGGCCAAACGCACACCCAAGTATACGCGGTCGTCAAGTAATAAAGTGACTTAAAGTCGGATGTCGAACCCACACGGACTTGTGATTAACTATTAACTAAATTAGATTGTCCTAATTATCTAAACAAGAATTAAACCTAGATGTATTTGATTCTAAACTAATTAAAATAAAAAGAGAATAACTAATGAACTTTAAACAGAGGAAGAGCAAATTTTTATATTATCAATGTGATAAAAACGATCTAGGATTATGGGCTATCTAACATTCCTATTGTATTTTTCAATTGAATTGACTAACTAATTTATTTAGCTTATTGGTTAACAGGGTTAATATTACTCATAAGAATCTGTTGAGTTCTTACTCGTCTATTCATGCTAATCTAACGCCTATATGCCTATGGAATTAGAACTAACAAGAACGCATTTATAATTTTTGTAAATCAACCAAGTAAGGCAATTAGGTATGTGTCTATCCTAACTGCGAATCCGTTCCCCGATGCCCAGGTTCAAGAACTTGCTCTACTCAATTCTATATGCAATCTAGAATTCGCATTTTCGAGTTCAATTCTAGATTCGTAGATAGTATCCAATTGATGATCAAACAATTAAATAATTAAGCGCAAGATTAAATAAATAAATCAATATGATAAATCAAGAAAGCAAAATCAATATCCGAATAACAATAGTCATGAAAGAACCATAACCCTAGAACGTGAAGTTTAGCTCCACATAGACATGGTAGCCAAACAACAAATCATACAAAGAAACACAAAAATTACAAAGTTTGGTGCAAGAAAAGATGAAACCCGGCCTCCACGGCGGCTCTGTGCTCTCCCTTGGTCAAAAGTTCCTCTAAAAAACGCTCTCCCTTCCATAGTGGCGAGTTTTCCCTCAAATATATGTTAGATCCCTTCCAAATTAGGTTTAGAACATTTTTTATACGAATTGGGGCCGTGTAGGGCCGAAATAACCTTGTTCCAGACGGAATAGGAAAAATCTACCACGTAGGGTCCAGGCCAGCGTTAGCGCTGGAGGCAGAATGTTTTTGCGTTTTTCAAATCAGTTCTTCACCTAGAATTGTATTTCCTTTTTTTATTGTCCAAAAGGTGTTCCCCCCTTTTCTCCTCCTTTATTTATTCTTTTATTTTCCTTCATTTTTTCTTCCGCGCTTTATTCAATTTTACTCCAAATTTCTTCATCTTCACACCGCTTTATTCCTACAGTTAAAATATAATATTAAGCATAAAGTAATATAATAGTACTCAAAAGACAATTAAAAGAACTAGAATGTGAGGCAATAATATAATGGTTAAATATATGCATTTTTTGGCTGAACATCACTCCTCTTTGTTGATGTTGAAACGTATTTGCAAATGCTTCCTGGACATGTAGTGTTCGTTCATCTTTATTGCAAAACTGTAATTTAGAATGCAAATAGATGAATTTGCCTTTAGACAATTTTAGACAATTAGTGATGTATAACAATAACTCATATACTTATTCAATATGAAATCTTATTGGGAAAGTCTGCTTTGGACCATAAGTGTTATGGAGAATACTTTGAAAAATAGGTCAAAACCAAATTGGCATGATTTAATTATATTTTTAAGACTGAACGTTGTGCATAGTTGCAGTCCTAAAATTGAAGTTTTCCTTTCAGTTACACTATTGTCCTCGTCCTTCAAAAGCTTGAAATGGAACTGAGCACAACATACTGGTACACTTGGCCAAATGATTTGGTGGGTGAATTTTACGTTGGCGTCCATGATGGATGGCACTACCGGAGACTTAAAATGGAGGCAAGATTCTTGAAATGCATCTTGCGTGTATTGACCGAGTATTCACTCCCCGAGTCTTTAAGGAATCACTTCTTCTTCATAAATAATCAAGTAAATGATATGTCTACGATTTGCTGTAATTTTAAGAATAATAGGCTTTCTGCTGGTCACGTTAGTATAGAGGGTAACTTTGTACGAAAAGTTATTCAACCAAAGATCAGGGAAATTCTTGTCCTTTTATGGAAGTCAAGGAAGCCGTGGGGGAGGTATTGTGTTGATATGTTCAGTATTGTCTCATATACTTTGGAGGATTTGGTCAAATGCATGGCTGATCGTCTTGCTCCTGATCTACTTGAGAAAATGAAGTCTCTTTCTTTCAAGCTAACATTCGAGAGAAGGTTCCGTTGGTCCATTGGAGATGGGTTTGTTAAGCGCGAAAACAACATAGATATCTGGCAGCAGTTTACCAGTGACATATCTTATTCAGTGGCATGCCTGAATTGTTTGTATTGGCTTGATGACATCCCCCAAGAAATTGCCCAGGGATTTGAGCGACATCTTTCTTCATTGATTAGAAGGTGTGAGGATGCAATCCAGATTGATGCCAGAGAGGTTCTTATCCGTCTGCATAAAGCTTCAGAGCTGTTGTTGACTTTTGATACTTCAATAAACGATCTTCCATTATATTTTGTGGACTTTGTCCTAGACAGTGTGGTTGAGTTATGCAATTCTAAGGAAAATTCAAAGTTTCCAGCCAAGGGTCTGTCTGAAACTCTGCAATATCTGGGGACTTCAATAGCTGATCGGTTAACACAGAGCACTAAGAATGTTAGATTGAAAGGACGGGAAGCAATAAGAAGGATAGATGTTTTACGAGCTGAAGTTATGGAAAAGGAAGCAGAGGCAACCAATCACTCTTTTGCTATCAATCCAAAGGTATTTTATGGATTTCTTACTATTTGCCATAATTTATTTATTTTGGGTAATAAATGTGAAATATTACCATACTAACAACCAAATTGATACACCCAAAAGAGCACCTAGAACTTTAACCCCCTTCTAGAAAGGTTGTTAATAGTCAGCTGGGCCTCAAAGAAAGAACAGCTAATTACATAATTTGTGGAATAACACTCGATGACAAGAGAGGGTTGGAGGTTGTGAGTTCGAGTCACCCCAAGAGCAAGGTGGGGGGTTCTTGGAGGGAGGGATCCGAGGGTCTATTGGAAACAGCCTCTCTACCCCAGGGTAGGGGTAAGGTCTGCGTACACACCACCCTCCCCAGACCCCACTAGTGGGATTATACTGGGTTGTTGTTGTTGTTGTTGTGGAATAACACTCGATATCTACTATCTCTTTTTGTATCCTGTAATATCTCTAACCTGCACTTAATCTCCTGCTGTATTTGTTCTATGATAAAATTGCAATTTACAGTTATATTCCTAAGCTGCTTCCAATTCCTTGCTATTTGCCATAATTTTTTGCTTTCACTTTTTTATTTATTTATGCGCATTGGACCTAAGGTGAAAGTTTTTGATGCATTGATATCTTAAATGTCATATAGTCTAGGTGTTAGCAAGATTAATGAAATTCAAGCTGATTAGTATGCAATAAATATAGTGGATTAAAGGACCTTATTCGTCATATCTTTCCTATTTGTCGTGAATTACGTTATCTTAATAGTTCTTCCAACATTCCTACTTCTGGTAAATTTAGAGAAACAAGACTTTTAAAACAATTCTTAATTTAGGGTGTGTTTGGTATGAAGGAAAATGAGTAGTTTTATCATTTATTTTCCCTTGTTTGGTTGGTGAGTGGAAAACTTTTTCTCGGAAAATATTTTCTAGTGTTTGGCTAGACTAGAAAATATTTTTTATGCTACTCTCTTCACTCCCCCCATTCCCCCA